TTGCAATCAATGTAAGATGGATATTGATGTAGTTATCTTGCTTTTCAAAATGTGGCTTTATGGCTCAAGCATTTTGTCAGAACTGCTGCAAAATGCTTTAGAACAAATGGTCAGAATGCAGCCAAAGCACATTGCAACTGGGTACAACTCCAGCCAGTATAGATTATATCCACTCTATGATTTATAATACTTAATAAATTTGCCTCCTCCAGGAGATTTATCTTCAGGTGTTCAAAATGTCTTCTTTTGGCAGGTCCTTTTGGCAGATCCTTTCTCCAGAAATACAGACAAAGACAAAGAGACCAAAGAGTAACTAACTATCTTGTTCTGTGTTCAGTTCCAAGTAGGGTGATTTTTTTGCAAAGTCAGAATTTTCAGGTCTAATAAGTTCAACATTTCCATCTATCATTCTAGGCAGCCCTTTGGGTATTGTTCCAAGGGCTCTTATTACTATTGGTAAAACCATTGATTTCCTCCTCCACAGTTGCTCAACTTCAATGTGCAAAAATCACAATATTTTGTTATTTTCCCTAGCCGTTTCTCTTCAATTTGTGCCTCACCTGGTATTGCAATATCAATGAACCAGACTTTTTTCTTTTCCATAATAATGATGTCAGGCATGTTGTGGGCCAGATGTCCTTCTCTTTGGATTTGAGAGTTCCACGGGGATCTTGACCTGTCCATTTTCAAGAACTTTGTCAACTTGGTGTTCCCAGTAATTTTTGCTGCATTTGAACCCAAACTTCTGGCAAAGCTTTCAATGTGTGATTTTGGCAACTCAATCATGACGTAATCAGTCTGTGAAATTTTGCTGCAGCCACTGATAAGATGATCCACTGTTTCTTCTTTCTCATTTCATAAGTGACATTTCCTGTTGTTACTGATATATTGAATTTTTGCTTTCACTGAATTAGTCTGCAAGGCTTGTTATTGAGCAGCCAAAATAAAGCCTTCAGTTACTTTTTTTAGCATCCCTGATCTCAACCAGTTCCATGTTAGCTTTGTATCTGCCTTTCTTTCAATGTCCTTCAGGTATTGACTATGCATAGGCTTCTTTTTCCAGTTAGAAACTCGATGCTCAATTATTTCCTTTCAATATTCTGTTTTCAATCTCATTGTTTTCAAGAGGTTTCCCTTATTCACCCCTTCAGCAAAGCCTCTTTTGCTGCTGCTGCTGCTGCTGCTATTATTATTATTATTATTATTATTATTATTAGTAGTAGTAGTAGTAGTAGTAGTAGTAGTAGTAGTAGTAGTAGTAGTAGTAGTAGTAGTAGTAGTAGTAGTATGCTATTGCAGAGTAGAAGTTTGGCTTTCCAAGGTACTAGCCCTGTTATAGGAAATGCTTGCCTGTTTTCCAAGATGCACCAGAGGACGGTGAGCTGGTTTCGCAATCAAGAAAGAGATGAGTGGTTCTTCCTGCAACGTCACCCAAGGCCCTCTCCCTTCCCAGAGCTGCTTCGTAAGCAGGTGCCACAAATGGGAAAATTCACAGCCATCAGGAACCTAACTGCCTTCACAGAGCACCAAGTCCCCACCAAAGTGGTATCTCTTTATCTACTCACAAATAGAACATGCTTTCGAGCTGTTAGGTGGAGAGTAGCTGAGGCGAGTGACAGGAGCTCCCCCTGCCACAGAGAGCTAGGGTTCAAACCGCTGGAGCTGAGACTATCTCCAGCGTCATTAAGCCCCTGAGCCACTGTGCCTCCTATATTCAAATGATCCAAACAGATATGGTCCAAAGTAGGATTAAAATAGGCAAGTAACAATTAGTAGTTGAGGAAATGGGCAGCGGGAGAAAGGGAGAATTGCTTCTAGAATGTACTTTTTATTATATAGCCATATTGTTTCCAGGTTACTACAATACATTTGCCATTATATGTTAATATTTAAAATACCAAAAGTGTGTAGATTTTTTTACTTCAAGCCACTTGCAATAAATATTTATAGTTCAAGGAAATAAATTGCCAGTCTCAATAAATTTATATAACAAAGAATGATTTTACCCAATCCAAACCCAGCAAAATTGCACTTCAAATGTGTACTTAGTACTCCCTTTCTTTCACTGTGGATAAATTCTTAGTATATATATAATCTCAGAGTTCAAAAAGGATGCATAGAAATACTTATGGGGCTAAAGGCAGAACTAGTCATCAAACAATTTGCAATGGCCATAATAGAAGCTAGGGTAGTGTTACCTTTGGAAATAAAATTATTAAACAAAAACCAACCAAGCTAGGCACTTTGGGAGCTTAGAAAAGGACTTATGTGATTACTATTTCTGAGGTTCAACTTTAATTATGTTTATTTGGACCTAAATTCCAAAGATGCTTGAAGCAGCAGCATGTTTGAGAATAGGACTTTGTTGGAGCATGGGCTACCAAGATAAACTCAGAACTTTGCCAAAGAAGTCCATCTCCCCAAAAGTGCACATTTTTCATTCTTCCACGGCAGGATCCAAAGCAACATTCTCACTCACCAGGTAAAATAGCAACTGTCTAGTAGTTTAACTGGCTAGCAAGGGCAGCTAAAAATTACAGGCCTCTGCTCATTCTCTATGACAAGAAACAAAACATCCTAATCCTCAGGAAGCCAAGCTCACTTCCTTAAACCATGTTAAATTTACAGGAAAAACTTTACATTTCTCGTTGCAATCCCCCACCCTAAACCCAACGGCTTATTGAATAAACTGTTTTATTGAATAAAACATCATTATTCTCAACGTCTTACTTGAATAAACTCTCTTTCTCTGACTACATCATTATGAGTTCTGTTTGTAACCATGCTAGGTCATAAATCATGATTTACGAACTGCTAAGCCCCGCAGTGTTTCTCAACCTTGACCATTTTAAGGCATGTGGACTTCAACTCCCAGAATTCCACAGCCAGCAATGCTGGCTGTGGAATTCTGGGAGTTGAAGTCCACATGCCTTAAAATGGTCAAGGTTGAGAAACACTGTGCTAAGGCCATCCTGACACAAGCGCCAGACTGCATCCTGCTCAATAGTACGCGAATGATAAGAGACGATTCCGCAGCGGCACAAAACCCCACTCCTCTTCAGTTCGGGGCGGGGCTGCGGCCTCCACGTGATTTTCCCGTCAGAACTACAAGGTCCGTCATTCCCTGGGCGCAAGGGCTCGTGGCGTCGCGTTCGTTGCTAGGATCTCCTAACGCCCCCCCCCCCTTCCTTTCTAGCTGCGGCCAAATGCCGCCGCCGCCGCTGCCGCTGTCTCCAGCTCGGGTGTTCGCCGAGTTGGTGTCCCCGCCGGTCGGCTCCGGCACGGGAGAGGATGAGCCGGCCAGAGCCGCCTTAGGAGGGCCGCTTGGGCGGGAAGTTCACGTGAGCGGCAGCGCGGAGCTCAGCGCCGGACCGGATCGGGCCAAAGTCACGGTTTATTTGAGAAGCAGGAAAGGGGAAGCCGGCGCGGCGCAGAGCAGCGTCGCTCGCAGGCTAGACTACATTGCCCAGACGGTTCGGCAGCGCGGCGGCGTCTCGGTGGGTAAAGAAAGAGACCTCCCCGCCAGCGCGCAATCGCAGTAGGTCTCCCGCCCTTTGCAAGGGCCGGACGTCTCGTGCGAGTGGGCTCAATCTTTCCTAGCTTTAGTCCAGTATTTCTCAACCTTGACAATTTTAAGGCATGTGGACTTCAACTCCCAGAATTCCACAGCCAGCGTTGCTGGCTGTGGAATTCTGGGAGTTGAAGTCCACATGCCTTAAAATTGTCAAGGTTGAGAAACACTGCTTTAGTCCCACCATTCCAGAGGCAGAGAACTCGCGTCTCAGCCAGGTAGTAAGGTTAAGTATGTTTCTGAGAATTTTGGTGTCGCCGTCACGCTAAAAACTACCCGCGTTTCATGCCCGCCTGGTTTTAGCTAGCATGGGGAAGCGCTAGCCGCTGAATTAGACTAAGATATGCTTGGCTAATTGGTGGCTCCGGCCTGCTGTACACATCGAAATACTTGGATAAAGGATCATCTGGATAGTCCCCTATCCATTCCAGAGGTAGGCAGTCGTAAATCATTTTTACATTGTTGCGTAGGGGCATTCACCAGGAATTGATCTCGGCTTATTTGATTTGAATCACACTTGTCATCCAGGAGCCCATGGCAGCGTACATAGCATAAAGTTTTTTAATTGCAGCAGCAAGGCCGTGAAGTAGATTGAGTTTAGGGAGATTCATCGGCTCAGAATCACCAAGGAGCTGGGGTTGGGGTTGCTAGTAGTCCAGTACCTTTATTACTAGGGTACTCTTGTTTGAGGACCATCTTATCAGTGGTAATATACCTCCTTTATTTACTCTGCTGGATCAGATACAGAACTGTGGTTTGCACCTTCCTACTAAAGATTTCCCAATCCACCATCCCAAAGGAAGGATTATTTCTCTGTATATTCCTATGATAATACATATTATTTGGCCGCCATGAAGGGGTGTCATTGGGCAACTAGCAACAGAGTTATGTACTGATCTAAGTCATAATTTCTCCTGAGTTCATACGGATGTAATTATTTCAACCCATTTTCAGATTTCGTTCAGCCACAAAACTTAGTACCTTTGGATTAGGTATGATGCCTCCTAAAACTAGATACAAGACATAACACTGTGGGGAAAAATTTGAGGGGAAAAAAACACACAAGTAAAATATAAATAGACTGTATGTGGCCTTCTAGTCAGTCAGGCTCCTGGTCACTCCATAGTCAAATTCATGCAATTTTTAGGCAACATTTTCAGAGGTGCTTTTCCATTGCCTTCTTTCTAGGGCTGAAAAAGTGATAGCCTAAAGTCACCCAATTGATACTAGCCACTATATTTGAATTTGTGTTAATCACAGTTTGTAATACAGTTCAAAAAATCCTAGAGAATAATTAAGTTTCTTTTGATGATTTATGATGCTATTGAGTAACACTCTATTTCTGTCCTACATGTGGCACTTTAGAAGATTATCAGGAATTTGTAGGTACCAGTAATTTAGGATATTCCTGATACTGCAGTCTTTCAAAGCATAATTTGTTAAGTATTGTTGGAAATTGTTCACTCAATCCATGCTTATTAGGATTGTTTATTCCTTTGAATTTGAAGGCAAAAAGATCTTTCACAAGATTCCAGGAAGGGTCACAACTGCTTTAAGAAACTGCAGCAGCGTCTACTTTGAAGCACTTTTTTTACTTTTAAATCAAACGAACGGTTAAATGTTTTCATGGTAAAATATGAGCTAAAACATTGCTTAAGAAAGGATGTTAAGGTTGGAGTTTGACTTAATCCTTATTAATATATAACTGTTGATTTTAGTGAGTCTGTTCCAGCTCCAACTTTCTTTTACTGTTTTGAAATACATTGCTATATTCTGTTGTTTCTAGTACCTAAAAGAGCATTGTTTTTAAGTAGTGGACTTAAAATGATCATTTTTCCTCCCCAAGGAAAATGATGTGACTGTGACAAAAAACTTCAGTAGAATAGAAAATGCATATAAGATGGAAGCAGAGGCAAGTATCTTAAATAAGAGCACATTTAGTCTCAAATATGTTTGTTTTGATTTGACAAAATTTTTAAAACTCCTCTAGATATAGATTGTTAATTTTATTAAATTCACTCATTTCCTTTGTCATTTAGCATTGTATCATGTTAAAGCTAATTTAGAATTTTAATGGGAAACTTAATGGAAGTATTCTGAAAATGTCATTAATTGCTGTGGTATCTTGAGACAAATGTCTCTTCTGCTTATCTTGTATGTTGATCAACTAAGAATGGGTAGTATTTTCAAGTAGTATAATAAAGTGAATAGATAGACAGCACTATTGAAGAGATGTGATGCTAAAATGTAGCATAGATTCATATTTAAAAGTGTATACCTTTATTTAAATTACAGCTTATCTAATGAAGATATCTCTGATAGATTACTTCGGTCCTAATTTAATACTAGTAGATACTAGCAAATGCTTTAAAATAGAGAAGTACAGGTAGTCCTCGATGTACAACAGTTCATTTAGTGATTGTTCAAAGTTACAACAGCACTGAAAAAAGTGACTTATGACCGTTTTTCACACTTACGACCATTGCAGCATCCCCATGGTCACGTGGTCAAAATTCAGATGCTCGGCAACTGACTCGTATTTATGACTGTTGCAGTATCCCGGGGACCTGTGATCCTCTTTTGCAACCTTCTGACAAGCAAAGTCAATGTGAAAGCCAGATTCACTTAACAACCCTGTTACTAATTTAACAACTGCAGTGATTCACTTAACAGCTGTGGCAAGAAAGGTCATAAAATGGGGCAAAATTCACTTAACAAATGTTTCACTTAGCAACAGAAATTTTGGGTTCAATTGTGGTTGTAAGTCGAGGACTACCTATTTGCATAGTTCTCATTGACCTGAATTTTTATGTTAGTGTTTGTCAGGGTCACCCCATAGTACAGAAGAAGAAAACTTCATGTAGATAGTAACTGTAGTTTTATAAATTTGTCCATTTTTAAGTATTTTGTTTAATATAATTTAAAGAAAAATAAGTTCTATTAGATTTCTTAAGTAGATTTAATAGTAGATTAATAGTTATATAATATTGCTTGCCAATGCTCCAAGATTGGATTTACTGCATTGGAATATTAACTAATTGCATCAGTTGTATCTTAAGTATTTTCAGATAATACCCTAGCCAGAACTTGATTTTTAATTCACTATACTTGGTTTACTTTTGAGATTGTGAGCCAGCTTTATAATAGTAAACATTGTGCGAGACAGAGAGTAAATGAAAAAAAAGTGAGAGGCTGGAAAAGATCCATATATACTACTATCTTTTGTTTTGGTCATCGTGCAATTAAACCATTGGAAAAAAGCTTCTACATTTTTATACTCACAGGTCTGCATTATATTTACTGATTTTGGAAAAATGCAAGATACATGTAATCATCTTGTTGAGAAACTAGATAAATCTGTTATCATCAGCTCACCTCACTTTTACCATACAGTGGAGGCTATAGATACCCTTCGGTAAGTTTCTCAATACATTTCCCAAGAAGGTGTATGTTTCTGGCTTGTGAATTTCACCATGAATGTGTGTTCCATATTACACAAGTAAAAATGCTATTTTCTTGCTCAACGTGAAGAGGACTGACTGTGCCATACATAGAGATTGCAGCTTTAATAGCTGTCCTCTGGGCCAGGGTTGTTAGTCAGACCTAAAACTGATCATCAGGTTCACACCAGCATCTCCACATAGCTGTAGTAGAGGAATGCCATCACCACTGCGTTACTAATAAAAAGACTGGGGTTACTCTGGCAGATTGCTACTGTAATATGTATTTCTGTGTTGTCAGTCTTGGAGGTGGGAGAGATTGGGAAATATTGCAGAATGTTAGAATGAATTACTGAATTAGACAAGTTGGACACATTTTTTCATCTCCCAACTTTCCTCCTTTAATTTAGGGAAGATAATATAAGAAATGAGCAGTAATATTGTAATATTGTAACAAAAAGAAAGTTCTAGTGCAGACATGTCAAACTCGCGACGTCACATGACGTTGCGCAACGTATCGGGATGGTTTTGCCATTGCCGGCAATGGAGTGGGCGCGACTTCCAGATGACATGTCTGGCCTGCGGGCCAGCAGTTTGACACCCCTGTTCTAGTGGAATAAGGTTATTGTTATTACTGTTACTATTGTCATTTTTCTTATTATAACCCACCTTTATTTTTTCTGCAACTGAAAGTTGGATAATGTCTCCTATTTTCCCCACAAGAATCCTGTGAGGTGGGTTGGGCTGAGAGAAAGTGAGTGGCCCAAGTTACCGATTCACCTACAGATGGCTTTCTAGTATTGCAGCATGTAACTAAATTAAGGAAACCAACAGAATAGCAATAAATTTTTAAAAATGGGGTTGTAATTATTTGAAGTATTTTAAATCTGATCTTCATATTTCCAGGATGGTGTGTGGAGAACATGGGAAAATAGCCTTGCTCTCAACTACACAATTAGCATAGTTTACAAGGAAAAAGGAATAAGTAAGGAAAAAAACAAGTTTGGTTCCTAAAAATTACTTTGGCTTTCTTTCAGAAAAGAACAAGTTTTTAAACAAATACTATTAAGGGAAAACTTGTAACTATGCGATACCGAAAATGTGTGTAATTATGTGCCTAGATGTGGAGTTATGTGATACTGAAGTAAGTTATCATATATCTTGAGGCTATAGTTGGACTTCACTTTACCTGAAAGAAATGTCATCGAATTCTGAGTTTGACAAGCATAAAACTGCAATTTAAATAAGAACTGATTAACTAACTCTTGCTGCTCTTTCTTTCCAGGAGGCAGGTATGCGTTTCTGCTGTTAGAAGTGCTCAGCAAAAAGCTCAAGAGGTTTGCCAATTATTTGGACACTCCCTAGGGAAACCTCTGCTAATCAAGGAAGAAGAGGTAAAGGAGTCGGAAGGTCATCTTGAAGATCATATAGACAATTCTTCAGATTTATTCAGTTTTCAGCAGAAACTCCAAAGTGCCACCATCTACGTTTCTTCAAGGGCATTTGCCATTTTTGAAATAAAGGGAGAGAAGAAGAGGAAAAAGGCTGCTCTTGTAAAAGTGAATTAATTAACCTCTACAACCATTAATTAAACTTTGTTTAACCTTTATAAAGAAGAATGTACTCAGGAAGCTCTACTTGATTTTTCCATAGTCTTAAATTTAAAATTACAGTGGAACTATAAGTAGAAACGTCTTCTATTAAATGGGGTGAAAAATGTGGATCCCTGCCAGTGTTTTTAGAAAGTCATTGTTCAGATGTTATATCTAAAATTAATGGAAAGCTTTATTTAGCTATCATTATACAACGCAAGAAAATGCTCACCGAGCATCATTTTAAAGTAATCACTGACTCATTCTGTTGCTCAACAAGGCAAACATAGGTAGATGTACCTTGTAGTCCACCCTTTGTCAGTAGGTTCCGCCTTTTTAGAGCATTTGTTACTACAACGTCTTAGAAAACTGGTTTATCTAAAAGGCATTCAGAGTTACTATTATATAGCAGCCAGTAGTCCTATTGTGTATATAAATTTATTCTAAAACCTAAAAATTAATTTTATTAATGCAGCAATACACGTCTGGTTTGGTCCAAAGCAGTCTGCTTTTTAAATAAAATATTTGTACAACAGCTTCATTGTGACTTTCTTATTGCTAAGTTGTAAATTGCTTAGTTAGGCTTTGTTCAAGAAGTATTAAGGAAATTGTTTTTCTCAATGCTTTATAATCCAAACCAAATTGGTTCAGTACTGTGTACTAGGACACCAATTTTAATGAAAAAAGATAATCTTGGGTAGGTTAATTTTGTTCGGTTTTGATTCCACTTAGAAATATTTTCCGCAGGATTTCTAAGATTTTCGGATGAAAGTATTTATGTACGGTACCTACACAATTGTGATAGGACTTCCAGTTGTGCTAAGATGGAAAACTATCTTCATATATGCTGAATGTACAGGTACCTATGGAAGATCCTGAACCTCAGGACATATTGCAGGCATGGCTTGCTCCTTAACATATTTCCAGTGCATCTTGTTCAGAAAAATATCTGAACATGGCTAAAGTATACATTGTACCAAGCCAGAAGCTAACTCAGACTCTGTACTTTAGGGAAGTACAAAAAAAAAAAAA